GAGCTCATTTCTGCACTCTTATTCTGCTGTATTTGTCTATATGCCAAATTTTATGCCAATATTACACTGTTTTGATTAGTACGTTTTTGTAACATTTATAAGGTTAATTCCAGTGCATGATGCCTCTAAGATACCTGTGTTCTCTTAATCGGTTCAGTATTATTTATAATATTCAGAGTATGAAACAACCTGTTGGTCAATTTGTCAAAGCAATTTATCTATCCATCTACCCATAGGGAGAGTATGTGGTGTGTATATGTACAAGCAAAATGAAATATTATTCAGCCTTAAAAAGATGCTCACAACATTTGCAACAACAGAAATGAAAAGAGGACATTAGACCAAGTGAACTCAATGATGCATAGGAAGAAAGTGGAAAACTGTATGATTTTATTTATACATGGAATTTAAAAATAGCTAAATTCAGAGGAGCGGAGAGTGCAGGGATGATTGCCAGGATGTGAGATATGGAGAAAGGAGAGAGCTGTTTCTCAAAATTTCTAAGCTCACAGCTGTAAACTGAATCTGTTCTGCTGACCTAATGCAAGCATGGCTACTAAAATTAATTACACTGGACTTTTTTCTTGAAATTTACTAATGGCCTAACCCTCAAGTAGCCTCACAAGAGAAACACACACACACACACGCACGCACCGATAACCTTATGAGATGATAGTTGTGATGGGAAATTGCACCGTTATGTCATTACCCATTACCTATGTGCATGGAATCATCAAAGGGCACAATACACTTTATATCGCTAGTTTTTTCCTTAGCAAAGAAGTATCATTATGCTGATTGTCATTGTATGAACCGTGACATCCACAACCAGCCTGCTGCTTCTGTGACTCCTAAATGCTTTCATTCTCAGAAGAGTAGCTACTTGAAGAATAGTTATTTTGTACAAATATATACATATATATTATGTGTATGCACATAATTTAAACAACCATACTTTGAAGTCTCATTGCTTAACATCTGAAAGTTAAGATTACGCGTGAGAAGTCAATCATAATTTGTAGTCAGTTGTAAGCATCAAAGGAAAGGAATTAAGTAATATTGGTGGACCTCTTAAACTGGGATTTTCTGGAACACACAAAAAATGTCCTAATCCAGGAAGGATTATGGGCCACTCTCAGGCCGTACCTGATGATGAATGCACAGTGGTCACTGCATTCACATCTGAGTCCACCAGGAAGCCGCAGCTGGATTCCTTCAAGGTCCCAAGCACAGTCACAGGCGCAATGGAGGCGTGGCGCAAGGCGGCCTTCAGCGGTGCCACGTGGTTGTACTGGACCGAGGACAGACACCCGACAAAGCCCACGGAGTTTGCTTTAGCAATTTCAGAATCCAATCCAGCATTCTCTAAAATGTAAAAGACAATCAAAAGTCTCTCCCCACAAAATAGGCTACCTGTCCTCTGTGAGTATTATATAAAATGACCAAAATTATCCTGTCATTCTTTGACAAGATAATTGCTGTTATCTCTCTTCATGTCCTCTCTCCAACTTCATCCCATTGCAAGCATCAGAACGTCACCCACATTTCCTAGAAAACTGGCAACAGCATGTCTGCTTAGACATAAAAACTATTGCAAACTTTTACATTTAATGCATGCATTTTATGAGTTGTATAGGAAATGGTCAAGAAGTTTCACACATTACATAGTGGATAGAATTTGTATCATTTTCTTCATGACCTTTTGCCTATAAATGCAGGTTAAAAGTGTAGACAGACAATGAGATTAGAAGTTGCAGTAATTAACTCAGACTTATCGTGTTCATTGTTTTAAGACATTTACATAGACTGACCCAGTTAAAAGTTCGAAAAGCTCTGGTGCTGTCCGCGGTACTGACTGATGAGAATTTTTTTTTTTTTTTCTGAGAGCATTAAACTTTCTTTTTCTCTGTATCGTATTCTTTAAATATTTTGAAAGAATACAAAAGAATAATGAAAACATTAGCAAAGATACATAATTTCACTACACAAAACAATATGAATTTGATAACGTTTGTTATTGTACTGCACAGTGCAGTCTGTAAATTACTTGTCTAGATGACCAGACACATGGATGCAAAATTGGGAAAAATACCTCTACAAGACAGGAAGATGCAATTATTTGGGTTTCTCAATAAGATAATACATGTCATTTTTTAAGATTTGTGATAACTTTGCGTTATTTTCTCTTTAAAATGGTCATTTGAATAAATTGCTACAATACAACTACATAAATCACAATACATAATGAACTATTTTTAAAAATATTATCATTTTAACCGGAGTAGATGTCATGAGTGGTTAATGATTATTTTCTTCAAAAAGTCTTTTTATTTACCAGAAGAAGGTCAAGGATGTTCCTATCTACCAGCATCCCTTATAATTTCATTTGGACTCATAAGTGTCAGAGTGCCTTCATCGATTTCTAAGCTTGTAGTCCATTCACAGTAATCAACAATTGTAATGACAATATGGTGCACAAAGGAAATTTAACCCATCTTAATAATTCTTTCTCTAATGTTCCTTCTATTTTACTCTGCTCTTCAACAACTGTGTAAAATTAACCAATTTATTGTCTCTTTTCTTACATGAGAAGATGGTAACTATGTGTGAGCATACACTTATTTGACGGTTGTAACAAATTTTCACAAAATTAAATGACTTTTAAATCTGAAAATATTCTCTTTAAGTTCTGAGGTTAAGATTCTGGCCTAGCAGTTATGGGGCTGAAGGTCAAGAAGTCAGAAAGACTGCACGGCTTTGACAAGCGCTGGGGACGAAACATTTATTTCCAAGTTTTAGCTTCCACCAGTGCCTCAGTCCTCAGGGCTCAACCTCCTTTGTCTGGCATCCAGACAAGCAACCTGGCTTTGCTCTGGGCCTTACTATAATAGTCACATTTGTCTATAATTCTTTTCTTTTGACTCATTCATTTTTAAGGACCCTTGTGATTACAGTGGTTTTATCCTGATCTTCAAATGAATCTCTGTATTTTCAATACAGATTGGTATGAATATTAATTCCTTCTGTAGCTATAATTCCTCTGTGCCTTGTAGCCTAATAATATATTCACAGATCCCAGGAAAGATGATGAGGGCATCTTTGGGGATCGCTATTCTGCTTAGGAATCCGTGTCTCAGATCCTGCAAGGACATTCTGAATGGTGACAATGAAGATCCAGTGGAGATATGATGTTCCTTTTCCACAGGTATAAAAGAATCCTGGAGCTTGAGAAGAAACCAACTTCTAAACATTCAATCAATTCCCTATAGTCATGTTATATATTTATTACCTAGTAAGAAAAGGATCATATGTGTTTTTGTATTACAAGCTTGAAAACAGTGTCTCTTATGAGATTTCTCACATACCGTTGCATAACAGCCTTACAAACACAGCTATAATAGACTGGAGGGTATTAGCTCATGTCACCAGGAGTCAGAGTACCCAGCTACCATGCAGAGTTGTCAGCAGGCACTGACTGCTCGCTAGCAAATGGTTTCATTTGAGATCACAATATGTAAAGAAAGGTTCATCCTGCGCACAGAGCTTTCGCACTGCGGCAGCAAGTGCCACATCATTGCGGCTGTACCTAGAGGCTCTCCGTCAAAAGTGCCAACTTACATCCTGAGAACTCAGTTGGAAAGAAGCCTACATCAGTGCCAAGGACTTAGGAGGACATCACCATAGTGACTGTCAGGAACACAAGGTCCAGGTACAATTGTGGGCACCTGGAGGACAGTTGGGTGAAATGCCAGAAAGATGACATTCTCTCCTTGAAGGAAGCAATGTCTCCAACAAAGTCCTATCTCCAGGGGAAAATTTTTATTCTAGGTGTACAATAAAAAGGGAGGCTCTGAGATATTTCATAAAAGAAACAAAGAGAGCAAAAATGCCTAATGTGAGAGGAAAGAGCTCTCACTGTGAGGCCTCACATCGTGATTTCTTAGATTCTTACCTACACAGAGAACTCAAATATTTATTGTAATTCCAAATAATTTTTACCTCTTTTAGTAGCATTAACCAATGTATAATAAATTAAGAAATAAGTACACATGTACATAAATAATAGTACGTAAAAAGCTACACACACATCAGCATTCACTATTGAATAGTAGCTATCTATCACTGTAACAATTGATTTTTCACACATTTATTGTTGGCCTCCCAGGCTTCTCCAGGTACTTGTTGCCACACACCCAAATGTGCAGGTGAAACAGCTCAGAGGCTGAAAGAAGTTAAAGGCCATCGCGGGATGGAGTTGAGATTTCAGTGCGAGACTTTCTGACCTTAAATTCTTTACACTTCATGTAAGCAATGCTGCTCCCCAAAAAGAAAAATGCAAACCTCAAAAAAAAATCTCTAAAGTAATTTTCTACAAATTAGCTAAAAGAAATAGGGTGCAAAGCTAAAGAAAGTGCAAGTTATTTTGGCTCAACATTCAACAGAATTCACTGAACTCTACACTAAAGTCATTTCTCAGTCCCTTTCCAAAGCCATCTAACTCAGTTTTTAGTTACAATTGAATTACATTCATAAAGAGACAGACAAGTGAGGGCAATATTTGAACTACTGATCCAGAAAACGAATATCAAAGGCAAACTTAATAGTTAGTGTGGTTTCTCAAAAACAAAATGAGAATGCAACGACCCTACCCCTGTAGGCACAACTCTATTCTCTTTTATGCTCTTTCCAAGATACTCTGCTAATATATAAAATCTCCAATCAACCCAGCATAATTTCAAGGTTTATCCTAGTAACAAAATTGCTATTTTTAAGAAAGTACAATTTCCTTACAAGACTGCATCACATTTAAACGTCTTATTTATTTAAAATGAACTTAGTTTATTCCTCCTGGCATACTTTAAATGCTAAAAAAACCACAGCTTCTCATATGCTTTGCATTCTAGACCCATGCATTTGATTCCAGATGTAGAAAGCCACAGGAGATACTGAAACAGTCCTGGTGGCAAGTCAGACCCTCAAGGGTGGGCCACGCTCTTGCAATGGGGCTTCGGTTTCTCTATACTTGAGCAACAAATATCATCCTTGATGCATAAACTGCATTGAAATACATATAATAAATATATGCTTCAAAAACAAATAACAATAAAAATAAAAGTATGCTTCTTAGTCTCATGCCAATATAAACTTGTCAGTGGGGTTGCTGTGCATTTCTTTCATACAGTTACGTCCAGATGACCCCTAAAGTCCTATGTGGTCATACAGGGTGCTTTTTAGAGGTGGCTGGTATAGGGAGCAAGGCTGGAACCTAGAGAATGTGACATGGGGATGAAGGCCGTGATTCTGGACTGATTCACAGTGTGACCCTAGAATTAAGCTGCCCACCCCTGGGTGTTAGTGCTCTCTGCCCTGAGAGCTGCTATTGTCCAGCCTGCTACTTGCTGCCGCTCTGTCCCGACTGTGCTGCCTTTCGCCCGACTTGCACTGCTTCCCGTCCCTCCCCTGTCAAGCTGTTCTGCCCGGCCGCCCTGCCTTGGAACCAGCCAAATATGATCCGAAACCTCTACAAACTGAAACAAATCTCTCCTCCTTTAGTTTGGGTGTCAGGTATTTTTTGTCTCAGCACAGCTAATCTATTTGAAATATAATCTCACGTCTCGCCTACTTAACCAACTTTTTTGTTGTGAGAACACTTAAAACTTTTGTGGGGCTTTTTTAATATCAATAACCTAATTTGCACATGCACAGCTCATCTTAATTGTAGTCACAAAGACGACTTCAAATTGAACAAACATAGAACTCAAATTTTACTTAATGAGAGTCATATCTTTTATGGTTTTAAAGCCCGAACTTCTGCATAATTTTCAAACACTTATTTCTTCAAACTGCTTTCTTCTGCTCTGTGCTGGTGGCTTGCTATGCCGAAGAAAGAAAAGATGCTCAGAACCAGCTTCAATCCCAGAATTCCCAGCACTTGACCTAGTTGCTTTTGTTTGACAGCAAGAGAAGGCTAGAGCAAATTCAGGCTAATTTTATGCAAGCAGAATATAGTGGGGCTTTTTTAATATTAATAAAAAATAGGATTAGCCATTTGCTAACAAACAGATATCTCTCTAGGTTATAAAATGATTTTTGGTATATACATCAAAAATAATTTATGACATTTAAATCCTGGTCACAAAACCAGCCATGGAAACACTTCACCTGGGATTACAAGTGTAAAGCATTGTACTATAACAAAATGTAAATAGAGCACTAACATTAAAGGATGATGTGAAGAACAAGTGTGTTATGGTTTGTGTCTAGGTGTCTTCCCAAAGCCTCATGCACTCGTTGGATGCAGTCACTGGGGAGGGCTCTAGAGTTTGTGATTACTTCCTGACCCAATGCAGGGATTATGGGTGTGA